TCAAAATTTTGGTATTTAGATTACCAAAAACTGAATCGAAATATTTCAGGTATCCAAGTGCTCGAACCAGATTTATATACTTAAATATATTAATATATTTTTTAAAATGTTCCAAAATACTTAGAAATATATAAAACAGTTAAATGCATATTTAAAAAATAGCTAAACGATACTCCAAATACCAAAAATATTTAAAATAATTTTTTTTTTCCAAATATTTATGATAAAGCAATTTTATGTTAAGTTTAAGTATTTTGGTATTCATTTTTCAAATTTATATGTTATATATTATTTTTTACTTTTAGATTTTGAAAATTTTAAAGTATATATGAATTTCAATCTTTTTTATAAAAAAATAAATGGATTATCCGAAACTAAACCCAATCTGAACCTGCAAAAATTCGAACCAAACCGCAAAGATCTAAACCAAACAAAATCTAACCGAACCAAATGGTATCCAAATGCCTATCTCTAATCAAATGTAAAAAATTATGATAGCAAAATATATATTTAAATACAACATATTTTTAAAAAGCTCACTCCGCGCATGGCGCGGGTTATCATCTAGTATTGTGTATAACGAAATCATAAAGACGAAAATGATGGATCTAAGTTAAGTATGGATTGATTGTGGAGAAGTGGCTCGGTTTTCTGGGTCGAATGGAGAAGACGAAGTGGTAGATGAGATGTTTCATCCGTCGTGGGCGACACAGATTAAGGCAAACATCAAATAAACCCTGAAACCCAAGTCCATTTGATTTGGCAAAAAAAGAAGCAAGAGCCCAATCGAAAGCCCAAAACCTGTCTGATGTGTACAAATAAAATGTTTTGATTGGTTGAATATTTTTTCTGAGGTGGACACTCTGTCCTTTGAGTATATTCACCTTTTAATAGTAGTAGATTTTGCAGAAGCTTTAAGCCACTATTCTGTGATGTGAAACATTGGTTTACCTAAACCACTGGAAAATCGATGAGTTTTGTAAAATTTGATTTAAGTGATCGAGCAGTCTGAATTAAATAGACCTGGATTATGTATAATGGGATCAAAACATTAATTCTGGTTAACTAAACCGGTTTATATCACACAATACAATAAATATTCTTTTTTTTTTACAATAAATATTCTTAGTTTTAAAAAAGCACGAATTAAACTTGCAACTATTGGTTGACAAAGAAAAAAAAATTGCAACTATTGGATGTTTATCTTAATTAATTTGGTTAGTAACAAGGCTATTTATATACAGTCTTAGGTTAATTTTGTCATTACAGTACTAATCTTCTAAGTCTAATTACGACGACAAGAAGAAGATTCTGCCTTCCTTTGCAAGTGACATGACGTCAGCAATGACGTGTTTACGTCATCAGACAAAGAGCATATATATAAGCACACATCCCTTCGCGACATCGCAGCAAAACCTCTGGTCTTCGTCGTCGTGACAAATTTTGAATTTTGATTATATTTATTATTTAAAAAAAAAAATCTCAGATTCCTTGATTTGTGGATTCCGGTCAAAAATGGCGGAGGAAATCTCAAAAACGGCGGGCGATCCATCAGCTGCTACGGCGGCTGCCACGAACGCGGCGAAGTCGAAATGGAAAATCTTAAGGCCCAATTCACTCCGGTGGATACCAACCTCCACCGATAACACCATCGCCGCCGAGAAGCGTCTTCTCTCCATCCTCAAGTACATTTGATTCTCTGCTTACTCTGTTTTAATTACTCTGTTTTTAATTACTCTGTTTCCTTATACATAAATTTTTTTTGTCTTTATGATTTTTTTTTTCTTTAAAAGTTTGTATTTTGGGGGTGAAAACAATCTTGAAACCGAGGACAATTTTTCATTTTTTGATTTGGGTTTTAATTACTCTGTTTCGTTATACATACAAAAAAAAACTCTGGGGGTGAAACAATCTTGAAACCGAGGACAATTTTTCTTTCGGTGATTTGGGATCTAATTACTCTGTTTTCTGATTCATGATAACATATAAAAATCTCGCTTTTGTTATTATTGATTTGCATTTTTCATTCTAAAAGTTTCTACTTTGGGGTGTGAACAATCTTCAGGACGCCTTATGTACAAGAACAAGTGAATATTGGTTCAGGACCACCAGGTTCAAAAGTCAGATGGTTTAGGTCTTCTAGCAATGAGTCTAGGTACATAAACACTGTAACCTTTGACGCCAAGGAAGGTTCTCCAACGCTTGTGATGGTTCATGGATACGGTGCTTCTCAAGGTTTCTTCTTCCGTAATTTTGATGCCCTCGCCAGTCGTTTTAGGGTCATTGCTATTGATCAACTTGGGTAAGCAACCAACTTTGATATCATTGCACTTGTTTGTTCCAAAGGATTCATTGTGACTGTATAATAAGGTAGTTTTGCTCTTATTTTTTTGTTCTAGGTGGGGTGGATCAAGTAGACCTGATTTTACGTGTAAAAGCACAGAAGGTATAGTATCATTTGAATCTTTCTCAGTGTTGCTTTGTGTTATATATGGAGTTGCTTCACCAGTAATGAAACTGTTTTGTGCCTGACTTTAACTATGCAGAAACAGAGGCATGGTTTATAGACTCATTTGAGGAATGGCGTAAATCCAAGAATCTCAGCAACTTCATTCTATTAGGACACTCTTTTGGTGGTTATGTTGCTGCTAAATACGCTCTTAAGGTGATTTTTTCTCCATTATGGTATAACTCTCACTGTGTAAAAGGTGACAGTTTTTTACTTGAATGATTTTTAACTTTTCAGCATCCTGAGCATGTTCAACACTTGGTTCTGGTAGGATCTGCTGGATTTACTGCAGAATCCGATCCCAAGTCAGAATGGCTCACTAAGTTCAGAGCAACGTGGAAAGGTGCAGTCCTGAATCATTTATGGGAGTCAAACTTCACTCCTCAGAAGCTGGTCAGGTATGCTCTTATAATGTTTTCATGTCCACACCTATATGATGCTCTCATAATATTATTCTAAACATGATTCTCGTGCAGAGGATTAGGTCCTTGGGGTCCAGGTCTTGTAAACCGGTATACAAGTGCAAGATTTGGTGCACATTCTGAGGGAACTGAGCTAACAAATGAGGAATCCAGATTGCTTACCGGTGAGTAATTTTTTTTTCTTTAGTTCCATAGAGGATGATGAAGCTGATAGTGATGTTTTGATTCATAGATTATGTGTATCATACATTGGCTGCAAAGGCAAGTGAAGAGCTGTGCTTGAAATACATCTTCTCCTTTGGAGCATTTGCTAGGAAGCCCCTCTTACAAAGGTTTGTCCCACCAACTCTGATAGGAAACATCTTTATGAGGTGGAGTGTTTGACATAAGTCGAAAGTTCAATGACTGTTTCTTCTTGTGCAGTGCATCAGAGTGGAAAGTGCCAACAACTTTTATATATGGAATGAATGATTGGATGAACTATCAAGGCGCAGTGGAAGCGAGGAAACACATGAAAGTCCCTTGCGAAATCATTCGTGTTCCACAGGTTTAATCTCTATAATAGATATGCTTTAGTTTTCAGTTAAGAGGGAAGTATTGAGAGAAGAAGATGCTTACATGAAATTTTGTTTGATAAAAAAATGTTATGCAGGGTGGCCATTTTGTGTTCATAGACAACCCATCTGGTTTTCATTCTGCAGTGCTTTATGCTTGCCGTAAGCATTTATCTCAAGACCAAGAATCCTCTCATCAAGAACAACTCCCAGATGGTTTACGATTGGTTTAGTTGTACTGTTGTTCTTTTACATTTCAACTTTTTATTATATATGTACAAAAGAATATAAGAGAACATCAGAAAAGAAAGAAGGAATCATTATGTGGTTATTCTTTTTCCATTTTGGTTGTCTCTCAAGTTCTGATTTATTATTAATATATCCCATCCGTCCTTTTAAGAAACTTACTTAAATTTAGATGTTTTGTCCGCACATGCAAACTCCTCTCATCAAGAACAACTCCCAAATGGTTTACGATTGGATGGTTTACGATTGGTTTAGTGGTACTATGTTGTTCTTTTACATTTTAACTTTTTATTATATACATACAAAAGAAAATAAGAGAACATCGAAAAAAGAAAGAAAGAATCATCTATTCTATCTATTCTATTAAAATATAGTCATATTTTTATCTACCATGAAAGTTGTCATTTAGTTTTGGACTTATTCATAATTCTCATTTAATATACACAATATACTTAATAAAGAGTTAATTACTTAATCTACTAATAGTATAGGATATTCTTTGGGCTAAGAATCTGTAAAGATTTAAGAAACAAAGAGAATATATACAAATAGTTTATCACAAATAATCTTATTTTACCATATTTAAAAGAGAAATCTCTAAGATAGACCTAAATTCTTTTTGTCAAAAATATAGACCTTAAAAATGATCAAAATAAACTTAAATATTTTATCAAAAATAAATAAATATACACTTATATCCTTTGGATTAACTAATTCTAGACATTTTTGTTTAGAGTTGAGGAATGTGATTTTGGAGATATAATTTCAATTTTTAAAAAATAAAAAAGCTTAAAATTTTCAAAATAAAAAATGCTATTTTAGTTATTTTAATTTTTGAGGTCTATCTCTGTGATAAAATTTTAAAAATGTCTATCTAAGAGAATTTCCCTATTTAAAACTATTTGAATAAATGTCAAATAGTAAAGTTACTTGATTCACCATATGCACGTATGACATTTAAATATAAATAATTAGATCAATTGTTTTACAGAAAATTATTAGATTGACTTAGAAATAAAATATAATTTCTTAAGTCAAAAGATAATAGAACTGTTCAATGATGATTCTTTAAAATCTTTTTTACCACAAGATTATAAATATATTTCCACAAAGTGTGAATGCTTTCAAGAAATCATACAAGTAATATGAGATATATATGTATTTCTACTAATATAAAAACTTAAAAAGAAAAAGAAAAAATAATTTATTTTTATGAGAATGAATTTACCTGAATATTTTCCACGATGTACGCTAAATTGCTAATATAACCTCCGTCACTCGCTTTCAGAAGCAGAAAAAAAATTATTTAAAATATTCAAACTAAACCAATTATTGCTTGGATAAATATTTGAATAACAAACCAAATTTTTATTGTTAAAAAAAACCCAAATTTTTAAATCTGAACCAAACCGTTGATCTGAGAGAAATAAATTGAACTTATTAAACTCTCATCTAATAGATTGGTTTAGACTGCATCAACGATTTAAAATATATAGGTTAACACTTATCAATCTGGTCAATTTCCATGGATTGATTATGAACTCAAAAATCAAGATCTATAAATTGTTTTGACCAATTATAAGAACATTTGACTGGTGTTTTATTTTTATTTTATGAAAACCGTATCATATGTAGTTACAACATAACATCGACTTCATCTTCTTAAACATATTTTATACCCAAATGGCAAAATCTCTATTATATTCCCAAACACAACATCAACGGAACACCCGATCATATATTCATAAAAAGACATAGCATGGTATAAAATACAGATTTAAACAACATCATTCTATATAGGTTAGATGAATAAAAAGACCTAGCATGGTTCTATAACTATAAATAAAAATCAATTCGGGCAAGCACACAGAGCATTATAAATAGAATATAATTGCAAAATTAGATGAACTAAACCAAACCAAACCAAACCAAAATAAAAAAAAATTGTATATTCATAAATAATGAACTATTTCTATATTTCTTGAACCAAGAACCAAAATCCATAACTGAACCGGAACCGAAC